TTCTTCTTTTTCTCGCCCTCCCCCACCCTCCCTCCACTCCACAGACGCCCTTCAAGCTGTGGCGCCCGCCCCCAGAAATTCTAATTAATTTCCTTTCAATGTCTGTGAATCCACTAGTATTATATATTACTAAAGGCCTAATGCACGAAATTTCGTGCAAGGGGCTTGGCACTCGCAGCTCCGGGCTGCCTTGGGCCCTGGCAGCCTGGCCTGCCCTCACGGCCCTGGCGGCCCCATAGCCCCGCTCACTGGTTGTTCCCAGACGGTCGTTCCTGAAGGTTGTTTCACAGTCGCCATCCGGTCTAATTGGCATATTAGCTCTTTATTATTTAGGATTACATTTATCTGACTTTGTTTATCAGGCTCCATCCAGGTGGTAGAAGAACCTGGTAAATTCTGCTTTCCAGAGCTAATACTTTATTTACCCAGCCATTGATGTTTACTGCTTTTAGTCTTTGCTGGATACATGCTGAAAAATGTTTACTTTCTAGCTAAACCTATTTTCCAGGTTCCATAACACTTCTAATTTCCACATTGCTATCAATTTCAATACCACAGCACTTTCTAATTTCAACCACTGGGTCTTCCATTTTAGATAGAGCATCTGATCTAATTTCTCTTGCTATTTCAGTGTATCAGTAGATGAAATATTTGTATCTATATTAATTTTAGAAATTGTAGGAATTGTTATTTTTTATTTACTTAGGCCTATTTTCCCTTTGTGCTTTTTCCTTCCCAAGGTGGGGGACACCTTCCTTTGTCTGGGCCTTTATTATGTCTCATAGCCATACATTTGCTATCAAGCTTCATTCCCAGCAGGTGCTCATCATTCTTTTTCTGACTGATTGATCTCTTTCTTTTGCCCAATACATTTTAGTGTGCATATTATATATACTTAATTGTTTTGGGTTTTCAAAATAGTTATTCAACACAAATATGAAGGAAAATGACTTGGCAGTATTTTCAAATTTCAGTAGAGAATTTGTGTCCAGTTCTTTCATTAAATAAAAGTTGGTTGTAGTTTGCTGACTTAGATTATTTTTATTTGTGTAATCAAAGAGTATATCAAGTTCAAGTATACATCTTTTTTCTTTTTTTTTCTTTTTTTTTCATGTTTTTTCTTTTTTGAGAGTTAGTCAGGGAGTGTAAACTATATGCCTGCAGGGCCAGGCGGGTAACCTAAATGAGTGACAATGGACTGTGTATGGCAGCAAATAATGCTGCTGATATTCCAGGACTGTCCTCAGTAGGTGGGGATGTGAAGGTAGGGATGTTGGTTTTTTGTTCACTGCAGTGTGTACTCTCCAGAGAGCAGTGTCTGTGACATCGCAGGGGCCAATAAGTATTTACTCAATGAATGAATGTGCTAAAATATCAATTAAGACCGTCTGAATTTTTAAATATATTGGGACCCTCAAACTATAAAAAAATAATTGAGTCCATTATTTACCTCTGTTTCTTTTTTTTTTCTGAATTCCAAAGGGCTGTGTCTATTTTTCTTGGTCAATTTCAGTAAAGTCTAATGGACTGTTCGATTAATTATATCATTAAAATGAGATTGGAATTTAAGCTTTAACATATATTCGCAAATTCTTTTTGGGAGGTTCGTGATAAATACTTTAACTGCAATTACATAGTTGATTAGTCACTTATATCAATATTTAATCAGAAGTTATATTATAAAAATTTTAAGTGATACTGTTTTGTGCCATTTAATTGCTGATCCAGTTTCTGAGTTCTATCTATGTTGTCTGTCAGTTGCTTACTGTGCAAAGAAAACTTTTCCCTATAACTCCATAGTGTTGTCTGAATCAAACAGAAAGACATTTCAGAATCCCTTGAAGTAGATGTCCAGAATAAAATACCCTATTTTTGATGTTTTTTAAACTTTTACCTTGAGGCAAGACGTAGAGTAAAATTTTATTCTAAAATAGTATTTTAAACTAGCTGAATTTGCTGTTCAGTAACTTATTTTGCCTCTTCTAATTGATGTTGCTACAGAATTTTTATATAGTATATTTAGCATAGGCTCACATGCCATTGTATCATGTCATTTTATCACTTATCATTATTCTGATTTAAATAATATTTAACAAACATCTTTTGCAGAGTCAACATTTTCTTTGCATATTTAATGCCAAGAAACACAGACTGAATTGCTTGCCAAAAACTGAGTGTAATTTTCCCCCCTCAGATTTGCCATTTATTAAATGTAAAGACTGCTGGTAGGATATTTCCTTCTGGATTTTGACTTTCCTCGTCATGCTGTGTGCCCTTTCCTCCAACAAGAGCTCAGAGCAGAGTCTGTGTTCTCTATGTCCTCTACAGCCTATCTAATAAAGAGGGAATATGCTAATTGACCCTCACTCTGTTGCAAAGATGGTGGCGCCCACAGCCAATAAGGAGGGAATATGCTAATTGACTGCCCTACCCTCAAAGTTGGCAGTGCTCACAGCCATTTATTAAATGTAAAGCCTTCTGGATTTTGACTTTCCTAGTGAAAAGATAGGAAAGATTTAGTGATTAACATTTACAGGTAAAGAGTTTAGACAGTTCTAATGGGCTCCTCTACATTGTTAATTCCACTTAACAGAACTGATTTGTTCAGTCATCTGTGAATGCATATGATGAGTGAGACTGTTGGTTTGAAATGTCTCATGATGTTTCACAGTTAGTGATTAATAAGTCATACTGTCACTTTCAGGAGCTGGTGATGATACACGAACTTGGGGACCACCTTTTGTGGGGACAGAAAGTACTTATTTTCTCAGTGTAAATCGAAATAAAAAAGTAAGAATATAATTTTTTTCTGCTTTCTTTGTGTAATTCTCTTATAAAAACAAAACTTTTGATATCCTGGTTTGTTTGTTTTTACCCTTTTCTGTAGATGTAATTAATATTTTAAATAAGGTGAAATTTTATTCATTCGACAGTTACAAATAGAAACAAGAGAGCTTTTTACTAAGCTTCCCTACTAACTTAAAACAAGAATTTATAATGGAAATAATTTTATTAAACTTATTAAGTGGTTCTTTACATTCGTTATTATTTTGTAGATTGATAACTGCCTAAAAGTGGGTATTATAATTTGAAGCATTTTTACTGTAATCCTTGCTACATTCTAACATATCTAAATTGCAAATAAAATAAGTAAAGATGATTTAAATATTTCTTCAGGAGGAAAATGCATTTGCTTTAAGAGGAGATTCTATGGTATGATTTGCTCCCTTATTGAACTGTTAGTATTAACAAAGAATTTTATGATACCATTTTAATATACATATTTTAATTTTTAGAGTATAGCTGTTAATATCAAGGATCCAAAAGGGGTGAAAATCATCAAAGAGGTACAGTATACTCAATGAAAGGCATCTTACCACTGGGGTTGTAATTAGGGATTTGAGCAACAGAGTAAAAGTGTTTTAAAACTTTATTTAATTGACAATCTGTAATTTTTTTGTACATGCCATTGAAGAATTTAACTTTACTTTTATAGTAAGTATAATTTGCTTTATAATTTCTTTTATATTGTGTATAATGTTTCTTCACACTGTGAAGGTAGGTATTCCATTGTAGTACTGGCTGCTATTGACTGAGTGCCTCCTCTGTATCAGATCTTAGGCTTGAGCACTTTACTTACATTATCTTCTCAAATCCTCAGAATACATGAGGTATTACTAGTAGAGTCTTCATTTTCACAGGTGTGAAGTGAGTCTGATGGGGCTTAAGTGATGCTCTGAAGATCACAGAGCTAGTAAAAGGAGGAGCTGAAATTTTGAACCCTGGGTCATGTTACTGGCCAAAACTTTTTGTTGTTGTTAATCCTCACCAGAGGATATTTTTTCTATTGATTTTGAGAGAGAGTGGAAGGGCCCTTCATTCTCATGCCCTTCTTTTTATCTTCTCTGTAGTTATTATTATCACTAGTGACCTGGTGTGCGAAATCGTGAGGCTCCGCCCACCGCCCCGCCTTGACACCCTAACCTCTCTACCTAGAGCTTGAGTGCACCTGGCCCCGCCCCTGCCCCCTCCAGCCTTCTCTGGCTGCTTCAAGCCCCACCCTCGGTCCTGCGAGTCACCTCGGGCTGGTCCTGCCTCCTCTGGGTGCCTCCCCGCTTTCGCCCTGTCTCTGGAGCAACATGGCAGCTTCCCCCCACTGCACACGCACATGCAGCCTCCTGCTGATTGGTTGTTATGGCATGAGGGTGTCATGACCATTAGCATATTAGCTCTTTATTATATAGGATTATATATATCTAAGGGATTGTTCTTTCCTTAATTCTTCTCTTTCTGCTCTATGTTTCTTAGTTTCATCTTTAGTTTCAGTTCCTACTTCTTTGCTTTTATTTCAGGATATTCTGATATTTTATCTAGTCAAGGTTTCATGTTTGATTGATACGGCACCATTTCAGTAGGGGTTCTCAATGGGACAGTGTTGGGTGGAATTCATAACTCTTACTACTAAGACATTTGAACATTTTAGGCCAACATGTATCATTCTGACCAAAATAAATGAATTGCTGGGACTTCCTTTTACTCTCCTTGGGTCTTGCTAGTGTCCACCACACTATAACTATTTTAAATTACACTTCATTGTGGGCTTGATTTCTCTGATTGATAACAATAAAGTACTTTTCAGCTCATAATAAACGTTGGTTGTCTGGAGACATTATTCATGCCTATGGGTTTTAGCTAGTTATATCACTTATAAGTTATGCATCTTACGGCCTAGAGGAAAAATTATTTTTGCCTAGTTTTTTTTTTTCTTCAGGGCATGGATTTCTTTTTTGACCTTAAGAATAGTAAAATAACATCTGTACTAGTATTCAGACCATGGCGGCTATTATGGCTAATATAATGAGTCTAGATTATAGAAACAGTTCCAAAGTATTATACCAACCCAACAGTAGATATGTGAGAGCCCCCCAAAATATGACTCATTTGTCAAGTAGGTTAACCAAAAACAGGTTGTGTGGAAAACAAAACTCTGCTTAAAAAATCTATGTGGAGCCTGGTATTTCCATGGCAATATGATATGATAACTTTCTAACATGTTATCTATATTTCAGATACTTTTCCATGTTAGTTGACAGTCACACTATCCATACTGTGTCCACAGAACAATGTGATAGGTTTTGTTTTCCTCCAACATTGTACTGTGAAAAATTAAAACATAACAAAAACATTGAAAGATGCAACAATTTTAACATTTTGCTATATTTGCTTATTTACATATGTATTCATATGTGTATGCATCTGTTTATGTGTGTATTTTTGAACCATTTGAAAGTAAGTGGAAGATGTTATGAAACTTTGTCCTTAAATCCTTCAGAATACATCTCCTACAGATAAGGATATTCCTTGACATAAAATTTAAAAATTATTTTATGATTTTTTAAAATATATTTTATTGATATTTTACAGAGAGGAAGGGAGAGGGATAGAGAGTTAGAAACATCGATGAGAGAGAAACATCGGTTAGCTGCCTCCTGCACACTCCCCACTGGGGACGTGCCCGCAACTAAGGTACATGCCCTTGACCGGAATCGAACCTGGGACCCTTGAGTCCGCAGGCCGGCGCTCTATCCACTGAGCAAAACCAGCTAGGGCTATTTTATGATTTTTTAAACTCATAAATATGGTTACATTATCATTATCACTTTCTCCTCTACTTCTGATGTTGCTCATCCATTCTGTTCCTAAGTTACACCTAATAAAGAGAACTCAGAATTTGGTACGCTATATTTCAAATTGATTTTAGTTTTTATTTCACTCTGTGACTGGAAGGAAGAATTAGTTTTTCCCTTTGAGAAAGAAAGAGATGGTGGGTTCTCTAAGTCACAAATTTTTTTTTTTTTAATTTTGGGCAACATTCTAGAAGAGGTTATTAGGTAATTTGTGAGCAACTCGATGAGACAGAGGTGATCAGCAGTAAAACTGGGAACCAATCTTTTTTTTTTTTTTTCTCACTTTACTTTCTAGTAGATGATTAAGTCAGGGAATCCAGTAAACAAATTTCATCTCCACTGGAGCAGTTAACTTGTATAATACTTGAAGATAATGTGGAGATTAGTGTAACTCAGAAGTTTTCTGATGGCTCTGATTTTAACACTGTTGTGTTTAGAATTTTTATGAATGACTTTGCTAAAGCTATAGGGAACATACATGATATTGAAATGGGTGAATATCCTGAAATAGAGAGGGAGAGATAATATTTTGGATGACACATTCACTAAGAATATCTATCTAGTAAGTAGCTAGTTTTTATTTATTTAAAATAAACATTTATAAAATGGAGAAAAGGATAATTTCTGCCCTATATCCTTTTCCAGGGATATTTTATCAATAAATATCAAAATGCATATATATAGAGTTCTTGGGTATCATAAAAAAACTACTGGGTATCTTTATCAGGAGAAATCTTTAGCTCTTAAACTCAACTTTTGCATACTTTTTTTTAATCACATTGTACTCTCAGACTGCATGTTACTTTGAGTACATTTTTAGTTAAAAATAGTTTTTCTTATAAGAAATAACTGTTCATGGGCAAAAGGATTAATATTTTAGCATATCATTTAAAATGTCTTTACATCCTTGAATACTAATTTTTCTCCCCAAAACATGAGATAATACCATGTACATTGTTTTTTTTTTATCTGATTTTTTTGTTAATTAAAATATTTTGAATACTTTTCTACTAGTATAAGGTATTCATTTTATTTATATTTGTGTTTTGTTGAAACAGTGAATTTGTGCTCCATCTGGATACTTTATATGGATTGAGTTGTGATTTAGGATTCTATAGAAGTCTAAAAAATACAAATACCCTGCATTATTAAAAAATTTGTTTTTATTGTGGTAAAATATATACAATAAGAATTTCCATTTTAATAATTTTCAAGTTTACAATCCAGTGGCAGTAATTACATTTACTGTACAACCATCTATCTATTTCTAAAATATTTCATCACCCCAGGCAGTAACTCTGTATACATTAAGTAATAATTCTCCACTTCCCTCTCTACCCAGTCCCTAATAATCTCTTATCTATTTTTTTGTCTCTGACTTTTCCTATTCTGGATATTTCATGTAAGTGAAATCATACGATATTTGTACTTTTTTGTCTGGTTAATTCACTTAGCGTAATACTTTCAAGGTTCATTCATGCTGTAGCATGTACAGAAACTTTTAATAGCTAATAATCTTCCACTTTATGGATGTATTTGTCTGTTGTTGGACAGGAGTTGTTTCCACCTTTTGGCTACTGTGAATAGTGCTGCTATGAACATTTGCAAACAAGTATTGGTTTGAGTCCCTGTTGTCAATTGTTTTGGGTATATGCCTATGAGTGGCATGGCCGGGTCATATGGTAATTCTATATTTAACTTTTTGAGGAACTGACATGAGTTTTTAAAAATAAAAAATAATTTATTAGGTGTCATTTGCATAAGGTACTATTTTATGCACCATGCAGAAATATGACCAGTGTAAAAGCCTAGATGTGCTTGGTATAGTTTGTTTCCTTTAGTGCCTGCAGGAGTGCCTTGTAAGTAGTAAATAGAGGCTCAGAGAAATATTGTGGAATAAATTGATGTGTAACTATAGATTTGTGTTGTATTTCATACTAACCCCTGCATCCCACCAAATCCCCAAGCAATACTTTGTAGAAAATTAATAATAAATAAATGTATATTTATTGGGATTCTCCCTGGAGCATGCTACATGGAGTTGCCCACAGGAGATACAGGTCAGATGGTAATCGGCACCTAAAATTTGGAAAAGATGCCTATGCTTGAAACTTGGTGTGCATGCTTACGCCTTCCTGTCTTAACACATTTATCATTCCTCTCTAGTCGGTGGTCAGTGAGGCTTCTGGTGCATCTGTGTCAGGAGCTCAGGAGGATGACAGCTTATTTCCTTGAGATGTGTCCTAAGTTCTCCCCTCCCCCTAAATTTGGTTGTCAGGCAATTCCGTAAACACAGTCCCAATTTGGTGATGCAGTAATAGACAAGCATTCAGTTTTTAATAAGAGTATATTTTTATTGATTTCAGAGAGGAAGGGAGAGGAAGAGAGAGATAGAAACATCAATGATGAGAGACAATCATTGATCGGCTGCCTCCTGCACACCCCAGCCTGGGGATCGAGCCCACAACCTGAGCATGTGTCCTGCCTGGGAATCGAGCCGTGACCTCCTGGTTCATGGATCAACACTCAACCATCAGCCATACAGGCTGGGCTGTTTCAGATAGTTATTGATACACTGGGTTACAGTTTAATAGTTTAAAAAATGGTTAATTTAACACACTGGAAAGAAAGCACCTGAAAAGTTTGAGAGCACGTAAGAATCATGTGTACATGTGCTTATATGTGTATGTGGTAATGAGGAATATCACATAATAAGGATGGAGAAGTAGTAAAGTCATTATATTTTGTTTTTTAAGGGTTTAAAAGATGTTTTTCATATATTTTCTTTACTTATATTCTAATTTTTCTACCTCGACATCTGAAAATATATTTGCACCATGTAGCCTAGATATTTTTTACATTTAACATAAGCAAAATCCATTTAATACTATGGTATTTACTGAAAACTTTAATAGCCATTGTTTTACTGGCAGTAATACCTCAAGTAGTTGACCAGAGCCTTTATGTTGATCTAATTCTACTTTGTAATTCTACTTTTCCTGTGCTTTTTGTATGGACTATTATAAAAATGAGGGCCAATTTTGTTTACTGAAATTAGAATTCTGTGATGTGCGGATTTGTTAAATGTTTGACAGTCATTTAAGAAATCTGATTCATCTCTACCTCTTCCTTCAGCTTGCAGCTGTGTGTGATGTATTTGTGGAAAACTATGTCCCTGGCAAACTATCTGCAATGGGCCTGGGGTACGAAGAGATAGACAGAGTCGCTCCTCACATCGTCTATTGCTCCATCACAGGTATTTCAGTCCCACACACTCGCCAGTGAATAGATTTTCCAGTTTCTATCAGAAACCTCTTACTAATGTTCGTTTTCTTGATGTGATTCTGCTCTTCTTCCCCTCTCAAAATAGTTTAGGTTCCCGAAAAGTAACCTTTAAAAACATTAACTTAAATGAACATTTTTTTTTCGTGTATTTATCGGCAATTTAAATTTCTGTGAATCGTCTGTCTATAATTTTTTATTTTGCAGACATTTTCAAAGTACTGTTAACTCATATAGAATTACAGTTGAGCCGAAACCGGTTTGGCTCAGTGGATAGAGCGTTGACCTGCGGACTGAAAGGTCCCAGGTTCGATTCCGGTCAAGGGCATGTACCTGGGTTGCGGGCACATCCCCAGTAGGAGATGTGCAGGAGGCAGCTGATCGATGTTTCTCTCTCATCGATGTTTCTAGCTCTCTATCTCTCTCCCTTCCTCTCTGTGAAAATCAATAAAATATATTTAAAAAAAAAAAAGAATTACAGTTGAAATGTTAATAGCCTTTAAGATAATACAAGAATTCAGCATATCTCTTCAATATATTCAAAAGTGCTAAGCCAAGGAAAAGAGTGCTATAAAGTCTTTCAGTTTTTTTCAGCCTTTGTAGTGACCTTCCTCTGTGTGTGTGTGTGTGTGTGTGTGTGTATGTATGAATGTGTGTGAATTTAGGTCAAAGAGGAAAACAGTCATCATATATGTTAGTTTTATATATTTAATAAGCACAATACCACATTTTTTGGTTTCATTATTTTATGGTTGAGTAATATTCCATTATTTTATGTACTACATTTTCTTCATCTAATTGTCTATTGATGGGCACTTTGATTGTTTCAATATCTTGGCTATTCTAAATAATGCTTTAGTGAACATAGAATTGCATATATCTTTTTGAAGTAGTGTTTTGGAATTATTTTGATAAATACTCAGAATTGTAATTGTTAGGGCATCTGATATAAGTATTGCTACCCTAGCTTTTTTTTTTCTTTTCCATTTGCGTGAAACATCTTTTTTCATTCCTTTACTTTTAGTCTGTGTGCCTTTTAATTGGAAGTGGGTCTTTTTTAGACAGCGTATGTATGGGTCCTGTTTTCTTATCCATTTAGCTATCCTATGTCTTTTGATTGGAGCATTTAATACATGTACTTTTGAAGTGATTATTGATAGGTACATAGTTATTGTTGTTTTATTGTGATATTTATTTTCTCCCCCCTTCTTCTTCTAAAAGAAGTCCCTTTACCATTTCTTGTAATACTGGTTTGGTGATGATGAACTACTTTAGCTTTTTCTTGTCTATATATCAATATGAGATCAGGATTAAAAAATGTTTTTATTGATTTTAGAGCAAGAGGAAGGGAGAGGGAGAGAGAAACATTGATGTGAGAGAAACATCGACTGGCTGCCTCCTGCACATCCTGTACTGGGGGTCGAGCCTGTAACCCTGGCATGTGCCCTAACCAGGAATCCAACCAGTGACCTTTTGGCTCATAGGATGAAGCTCAACCAAGCCACTCAGCCAGGCATAATTTTTTTCTTAAAATATCGCAGTCCAGTGGAAATGTTGAGGTCTAAAATATTAAAATAGGTAAAATATTATCTTTTGAATTGCCCCCTTACCATAAAAATACTGCATATGTGACAAATGCAAAATCTTATATGACAATAAGAATTTATTTCTCATTCACATGAATGTGGGCCAAATGGGATTCAGCTGATTTAAACTGATTTGATTTGGCTCCATATTGCAGTTTGGGGCCTGGTTTGCTCTACATGTCTCATATTCCTTGGACCAGTGGCTACCAAATGCACGTTCTACTCTTAGTGAAAGGCAAGAGCACAAAGAGAACAAGCCAAGTCTCACAAGCAAGTTTACAGCCTCTCCTCACATAACATCTGCCAACGTTCCTTTGGTCATGGAAAATCACATGACCAAGCCCAATATCAATGGGTCATGAAATATATTCTACTCTTGTGGCAGGAACTACAAAGTCACATGACAAGGAGGTGGATTCTGAGGAGGTGAAGACTGGGAATGCCAATGCATTTTATCAATTACCTAGCCAAATAAAGTGCTAATCTACATGGGAAGCCTCACACTTGCCCAAGTTCCACATCTATAACTAACGATGGTTAGTCAGAAGTTCTTCTGGGCCACGGCTTATGAATGGAGAATCTCTAAGTTTTCTTCCTGTTCTCAGATCCTGTATTTACATTTTAGTGAGGCAAAGGGCCTTGGATATCTAATCTAATAAAAGAGAAACATACAAATAGACTGCACCTCCGCTACGCCCCAAGCCACGCCCACCATCCAATCAGAGAGACTATATGCAAATTAACTCAACCAAGATGGCGGCCAGCAGCCATGGAGCTGGAGCAAGCAAGAGGCTTGGTTGCCCCGGTGATGGAGGAAGCCAAGCTTCCTGCCTGCCCTGGCTGGCTGTAGCCTCCACTCAAGACAACAAAGTTTCAATTATAGAAGCTAAATAAATCCCAGATACCTGCTTCCAGCCAGACTCCACTGGGAGCTTGGGTGGCTGGGGGCCATGGCCAGCCTGCAAACAGCCATCAGCCCCTCACCCAGGCTGGCCAGGCACCCAAGCAGAACCCCCACCATGATCCGGGACATCCTTCAAGGCAAACCAGCCAGCCCCCACCCATGCACCAGGCCTCTATCCTATATAATAAAAGGGTAATATGCAAATTGACCCTAACAGCAGAACGACTGGGAATGACTGATCACTAGACACACACTGACCACCAGGGGGCAGACTTTCAATGCAGAAACTGCCCCCTGGTGGTCAGTGCGCTCCTACAGGAGGGGCTCTGCTCAGCCACAACCCAGGCTGATGGCTGACAGTACAGCGGTGGTGGTGGGAGCTTATCCCCCCTCCTCAGCAGCACTAAGGATATCCGACTGCACTTTAGCCCTGCTCCCGCTGGCAAGTGGACATCCCCCGAGGGCTCCCAGGCTGCTAAAGGGATGTCTGACTGCCAGCTTAGGCCCAATCCCTGGGGAGCAGGCCTAAGCCAGCAGGTGGTCATCCCCCGAGGGGTCCCATATTATGAGAGGGCACAGGCCGGGCTGAGGGACCCCCCCCCCCCCCCGAGTGCACAAATTTTTGTGCACCGGGCCTCTAGTAGATAATATAATTCAGAAGTTTTCAGCTCAGGGGAAATTGGGGGTATCATATGCTTTTAAGTAATAGGGATGGGGTAATAAGGAGGTGATGGGGAGAGGCATGTGTAGTTTGAAAAAATACCTCTCATAATTCTGTAATTCCCTACGTGCACATCTAACAATCATTAGAAGAACACCCATATAATACTGTCTCCTTTATTTCCTGATAAAGAAACAGACCCAGAACAGCTAAGGTACCTAAGTTCACACAGCTCTTTAATGGCAGATGGGTTTAAAACTCAGGCTTCTCGACTAGTATTAAGTGCCTCTATGCTTTTCATACTCAGACATATATCATTGTTAAGTGATGACATGGATTTTGTGATTACAAGACACTGAACAGCTGTAGTTGAGAATAATGTATTTTTGCTATTCTCTTTCATTGGTTGTTAGTCATATTTGTGATGGAGGAAATCATGAAAAAATGTGCTCATCAGGGAGTCTAAATTTCAACAGATTCTTTTAGAAGCAAAGGTCATTTATGAGTCATGAGTTTGTGTGTGTATATAAAGCAAGGGCCATCTCTCTTTTAAAAGTTTGATATTCTTGGTAATCAGTGTTTGTTTTTTTATTTTTTAGTAAGACTGATTAGATCAGTCTAAAGTTGCACATGTTATGATTGGGATCCTAGACTTTCCTGATGTTTCCCAGTGGTATTGCTGTCTCGTCAGTGCTGTCCAAGCCCCAATAGTCTGTTCTCACTCCCATGTTGGCCTTACTGCTTATGTGAGCAATCTTAGAATGGTTAGGATATTTACTCTAATGCATCCTGACTGTTGTGTGGTTGAGATTGCCTCGAGCTGTGAAATCTGGTCTGCAGGACAGAAATGCTAGACTGATCACAGGGGAGGAAGGACCCGATTATTTTTTATTAGCATGATCCCTCTGTCATTTTAGAGGAAGCTGAGTATGGACATTAGGGGGCAGTGTTTAAAAAGTTATAATTCACTAGGAATTTCATTTTGAGAGAATTTTAGGATTTTCTTCATGCCACTGGATAGAGAGAATCTCTGAAAGGACCTATTTATACTTTTTAAAAAGTCTTTTTTTTTTAAAGCTACCATTCTGTACCTCTATATTTTTAGAATTCTATCGATATTTTCCTTAACAATTTAAAGTTGTACCTTCTTTTCTTTGAATACTCTGAGCATGTTATTAGTTATAAAAATGTAGCAGTATGACTTTGGTATACCACATTTAAAATATTTCTTTCTTCTTGTTAACTTTATTATTCTTTCTTTCCAGAAGGATAAACATTACATTATATTTTTGACTAGACTAATTTTGTGGTAGGAACAGTACATATACCCTTTAATTATATCTCCCCCCCTTTTTTTAAGGAAAGAAGTTTGGAAAGTGCCTTTTTGTTTTTGTGAATTTCCCAGTGGCATTTTCTTAATCTCTGTCCTTGAATGGACAGATTGCAGGGTTCTACTTGGGCCTCATGAGGACCTCTTAGGGAAATGGAAGTGAGTTAATGGGTACGTACCAAAAAGCCATTATATTATTGGTGTAGGTGGAGTCCTGCATTGGAACCTTCTGTGTGGCTGAAGCTCAGTTGGTTGCTCTTTGTCTTATAGGATCCTCAGAGACCTCAGACTGAAGATTTTACCCTTCGGCCTCTGTGTGTGTGTGTATGTGTGTGTTCCTTATAAAGAGTCTATCTTTTCAGGTCGCCTTATCTTATAAGCAGCCCTCATGGGTAAAACTCCCTTTAAATGAACTAGTTCTGCTCTCCTGATAGTCTGCTTGGCCCACAGGCAAAGCTCCCCTTCCGCTTCTTCACCATTGGAGGAAGTACAG